CTTTTCAAGGAAGCATTAGGTCAACATGATTTTCATAACAACACTATTAGTTGCTTTCTTCATGCTCTTTCTCCCATGAGTACAGATTTTTCCAGACTACATGACATTGTGATAATGACATCAGTTTGATGTTTAATGGAATGTATGCTAGTGTATTCTGTGTTTTCTAGAATTTTCTAAAGTAAGCTCATGAAAAGATGATCAACATCACTGGTCATCAGGGAAATGCAAATCAAAACCACTAGGATGGCTATTCTCAAAAAGACAGACAATAACAAGTATTGACAAGGATATGGAGAAACTGGAACCCTCATGCCTTATTAGTAGAAAAGCAAACTGGTGCATCCACTGCAGAAAACAGTTTGGCAGTTCATCTGACAGTTAAACGTGGAGTTAACATGACCCAACAATTTTACTAAGTATATTTCCAAGAGAAATGAAAACATACATCCACACAAAAATATGTACGTGAGTATTAATAGCAGCAGTATTCGCAATAGCTAAGAGGTGGAATCACAGCATCCATCAGTAGATCAGAAGATAAACGGAATGTGGCCTATCCATACAATGGGATGTTATTCAGCCATAAAAGGGAATGAATTATTGACACATGCTACTACATGAATGGATCCTGAAAGCATTATGCTAAGTGACAGAAGACAGTCAGTCCCAAAAGACCACTGTATGATTCCCTGTCCAGGAATGACCAGAATCTGCAAATTCATAGAATCATACTGTATGATTCCCTGTCCAGGAATGACCAGAATCTGCAAATCCACAGAATCATACTGTATGATTCTCTGTCCAGGAATGACCAGAATCTGCAAATCCATAGAGACAGACAGTAGGTTGATGGTTGCTGGGAGAAGAAGGAATGGGAAATGGTTGCAATTGGGTGTGGGGTCTCTTTTGGGGGTGATGAAAATGTTCTAAAATTAGATTCTGGTGATATTTGCACAACTGTGCTGAAAACTACTGAATTGTACACTTAAATAGGGAGACTTTATGGTATATGAATAATATCTCAATAAAGTTGTTTTGAAAGAAATAAGAAAAACATTTTTTTAAAGTTAAACCCACCAAAGACCTAGCCTTGGCCCCAGACCCTCACTGTGGGGTGAAGATGTGAAGTGCACCAATTTCCTCCAAGTATCTGGCACAAGTCACATGCTCTGGAAGGCAAGCACAGGGAGGGCTTGGCTATAGGTCACACAGACCCACTGCTACTTCCAGGTCCCCCACGGGGCCATGAGCCCACCCCCTCTACTGAGAGACTAGGGCCCTCTGCCAAGCTCTACTATGACCTCCAGAAGAGCTCCTTCCTCTCTCATGATGCCAGTTTTTCTTCTATAAAATAAAATAACCACACAGATCTCTCAAAGTTGCTGACAGGTGCCCCCAGCACAGCACCCAACCCGAGAGCCAACCAGGGCTGGGCCAGTGATAAAATTGAGAAAAGCTGGCTTAACAAAGAGCAGAGCACTTGTCCAATCTGAACAGCAGCTTCTTCTCAGCTCTCCGATGGCCAGCCTATGCTCACAATTGCCACTTTTCAACAAAAGTCACAAAACCGAAATTTATGTGAAGTTTTCCAATTTCTAAATGCTGCAAAACAATTCTAGTGCTTACAAATATGCTCTGAAGAAAGAAGCTAACGAGTGGACATGAGAGGTGCATGCACCATTTTAGCAAGATAGCAGGCAGCATTTTAGCAAGACAGCAGGCAGAAGTGGAGCCAACGCTGGTCTTCACCTCCCCCCACACAGCCCCCACTCCAGAAGTGCTGGCTCTCAACTCACTACAGACTCCTGTACTAAGCATACCATTTCACCAATGAAGAAACAAGGGCTCAGAAGGGTGATGTTCCAGGATCCAGGTCACACAACGACTAGGGACTTACCAATGACCTGCAGGGGCTGGTGGGAAGCCCAGGCCTCTTGTCCGCCCATTCTGGTCCTAGTTGCTCCTAGCAGGCCCTATGCAGCCCTAGCAGAGTCAGACTTCCCATTTCAAAACCCCATAGGCTGGGAGTGAGGAGAGGAAGGGCTAGCTGGGCCCACCTCACAGTGCTCTGCTGCTGAGCAGAGCTAAGAACCCCACAGTCCCGTTCTCAGTCTTTTGATGATCAGCCACATGTATTTCTTTTGGGAAGTGCTGGTTAGTGTGCGCTCAGCAGGCTCTGCTGACCCCCTTCCCAGCCTGCCCCAGGAGCCTTAAGCTCTTGTAGGAGGAGATTCTGTTGTATAGGACACAGAGGCTTGGGTGTCCAGAATCCCAGTCTGGCTCTTGCAGGTCCCAGGCCATGCTCATGAGTTCTTCAGACTCCACACAAGTTTAAATCTTCCACAGGCCAAGACTGGAGAGGAGAGGGCAGGGTCTATAGGGATCCTCTGGAGAACAGTGTCTAGGTGGGTCCCTCACTCCTGTTCCCTGGAACCACAGCCTGGTGTTCTGGGGGGGCCTTGGAGATCAGAGATATTAGGAAGGCCCAGTGCTGGCTCCTGGGGCTACAGGTGAGGCAGGGAAAGCCCTGTTCCTGCACTCTCCTCCCCACACCCAGAGAGAGTACTGCACAGCACAAATAAGATCATACCACTTCCTGACTTACCTAGAGGCTTCCCACAAAAACCCAAACCTTCATACCAATTATAAGCACCTTGCCCTGAGCCTGGCCCTTAACCCTCCCAGCTGTTTCCCACACCAGCCACACAACCTCCTTTCAATCCAATTCCCTCAGGCCATGGGCCCTTTGCACACACCATGTCCTTTGTCCGGAGCACTGTCTTCTCTCTGCTCCCCTCCTACTACCAGGTCAACAAACCCTCATGCTCAAACATCACTTCTCCTAGGAAGCCTTCCCTGATCCCCAGTAGTCAGACTCCCTCCCCCAATCGACAACACCTGCCCCTCCACACACACACACAAACTCACAGAGCACAGGAACTCCACACCTCAAGACTACTGCATTCTTTATCTCTCCCACTAAACCATAAGCTTCCAGAGGACAGAGAACGTGCTGGATTTTGTTCAACATTATATATTCATCATCTATCACAGCCCGTGCACACATTGGCAGTCAGAAATGACGACTGTAAGAGATGAAAACATGAACACATGTGAGGGAAACCACTTTCTGCACGTGTCTATAGGCAAGTGACCTGATTCTCCTGCTGCAAACTAAGGGGCTGATGCGAGGATTTAAGAGGTTAATAATCACACAGGGTTTACAATGGTGCCTGGCACAAGTCATAAGCACTATATGGTGTCTGCAATTAATAGATATTTGATTTTAAATAGCTTCGCTGTTATCCGAATGTCAAAGCACTCAGAGATCCCTGTCCTGCAGAATCTGGTTAAGTGAGGCCCCAAGGAAGGGTCTCCCTTTCCTGTCACATTCCTGGGGCCTGTAGAGGTTGTTGTGCTGGAGGCTTTTCCAGGAAGGGGACTGCCTCCAGCTCCTCCAAGAACCTCTGACTTCCTGTCCCAGGGTTCTCTCTCTGGGGCCCCAGAAGGCAGTGATGGCGGGGGGAGGGGGGGTGAGGGGACGGGTACTCCCCAAACCCCTCCAAGGTGCCAGCCCAGCAGTAGAAGCCACCCTCACAAAGCCCCCGGATTGACAACATATGTCAGACCCCTCTCCCTGGCCAGCGGAGCCAGGCATGTGGCTTGCATTAGGCCACATCTGGACATGCTCAGACACAGCCTGGATCCCTGGCACATTTGGGCTCAAAGACAGGACCCCCACCCCAGCCAGGCCTGAGGCAATGGCTGGAAACCTTCTTCTCCAGGCTGTAGGGCTGCCATGGCAACATGGCTGGAGGTCATTTCCAGCTCCATTAAACACCTCTCAGCAGACCCCACAGGAGAGCTGAGCAAAGCTATCTCCCCAGCTTCTCCCCGCTCAGGTCCCCTCCACTACTGGGGACCCCCCAGGCCATCCCCATGACAATAGCCAGAGGCCTCTAAGGCCCCCGCTTTCCCCAGAAAGAAAGTGGGCACCAGATCCCCTCCATCAGGTCTCCCACTGCCCCAACCTCCCTTCCCACAGTGTGCATTCATGGTCCCACAGTTGTGACCATGAATAAATCTATGTGAACTTATCCATGTAATACCCTCCTCCCCCATGAGACCCCAAAAAGGGGAGAGGCTGTTCCTGCCTTTTTCACTGGCACAACCCCTAGCATGGATTTGTTGTAGAAGTGAGTGAACTGAAGAATGGAGGGTGAATAATAATGGCTAATATTTTAATTACTCACCAAATACTAAGTTTCCTGCCAAGCACTAGACATGAATTAGCTAAATAATATTCAAAACAACCCCATGAAGTTGGGACTTCTCTGCTGCTTAAAGATAGAGAAACGGAGGCGCAAACCAGTAATCCATTCGCCTTAGTCACACAAGTGGCAGGTGAACACTGGGTGAGTAAGAGGACAAAAAATGTATGTAGATGGTGGATGGCAGGCCAGCCCCTGTTCATCTGCCCAGGGTCAAACTCCTGGGTCCCATTTAAAGCCACCTACCACCCTACCCCCATCCCCACCCCAACTTCCTGTACCTCCCTTTACCCTCATACTAAAAGCTGCAGCAGCCCATCCATGCCCTGATCAATCTTATCTCTGGGCCTTGCATGTGTGAGGCCTTCTGCCAGGACAGTCTTCGGACAGATATCGGGCACTCAATCAGGGGCCCTTACCCCTAAGCAACCCTCATCAACGCCACAC